CATGCTCAAAATCAGACCACATCTGGTAATGGGGGACTCTGCAAAGGAAAGCAATGCCAGCAGAGAGCAATTTTTCTCCTTCTGACATTTTCCCTTACACTGACAATCTGAGTGCATCACTCTGAAACCTTGCTCCTTACACATACGGGACATCAATATCACATAGGCAACAGCATCAAAAGCTGGAGGCCCTGGAGGCTGTAAGTGGCTATCCTCAACTGACTGAAAGCAGGAGATGCTCAGTTGTGATATTAAAGCTATTTTTGTCATATGGGCTGCCTTTATTTCTGGATTTGGCTTCTTTTGATGAGTTTATAATTGACCCAAAATAATTTGTTGTAGCAGTCATTCAACAATGCTAGGACAAGTGCAATCATGTAGGAAAACATAAAAAAAATAGTTTTAGGTGAGCCATTACTTAAACCGGGAGCAACACCAATTTCTCCTGTTTCTTGCACTACTCCAAAGGAGCACAAGTAGGTTTACAGCTTGACCTGAGCATCCCCAATCAGCTGAACACAGGGAATGCCAGCATCCTGCCAGTGCACTTGCAAAGGAAGGCAAGGGGTTCATGCTGGTCTTGACAAACCTCCTTCAGGTCAGGGGATTGTTCATCTGTGAAGGGCTTGGCTGGTAGCAGTGGTAACCTGGATTAGTAAAATGTTCACACCCCTGCACAGCTCCTGTAGGCATGGTTTGGCAGCTTTATAGAAAGCTGATAAGAAAAGTTCCCTTGGGTCTGTTAGGCAGCCTCCATAGGAGAAGTTATTTGTTTCAACTTGCATGCTTCACTGTCACTTTCATAAATATCTGATCCGCACTCCATCTGGCACTGGGTTTAAAAAAATGGCATCTAACCAGTTATCAGTTTATCAGCCAAGTTTTTTTCCTCTGAATAAAAAAAGTTGTTCCATGAAGGAGCCTAGAAAACATTCCATGGTAGGGGAAACCCTCCCTTCTATATAACCAGTTGATATTTCTTTTCTCTCCTCCTGGTCCACACCTAGGATATTTCAGGACCCAGCACCGGAATGACAGTTCTCTGAAGCAGAGCCATTTCATGTAAGCGGTGGGAACACCCTTATCTGAGCCTGAGACCAAGCAAGTGATGAGAAGAGGAAGAAAATTCTGCATAGCTGATCCTCAGGATAGAAAACATAGCACTCTGGGAATTTGGGATCCGGTTACTCACCTGGATAGAGCTGCTGCCAACAGGTGGAAAACATTCATATGGCATTCTCAGCTGACGGAAGTACCTGGACCATTTCACCACCATAGCCCACAAAACGCTTGAAAATCCCTCCACAATCTCTTAATCTTTGGTGATCTCCTTTTACAAGAAACCTGGTAGTCTATCATCTGATGCATTCTTTCAGAGCAAAAGGTGGTGTTAATGAAATACTTTAGATTAATGCCCTTTGAAGTTTTTCCTTTATATTGAAAAATTAAACACTGGTTTCACATCAGCCTGCCAAAGGGATCCTTTACAAAAAAACTGAGCTACTGAATACAGGCCATCCTCACAGTGTTATTTCAGAACCTGACAGCAAGACAACAAAACTTTTTTGGAGATGAACATGCAGCTGTCCTTAAGAATACCAAGCATATTCACAGCTACTTCTGCAGTGCTTCTACATAAAGATCTTTGCTATGGATGAGGAACCAACAATCACATCCATTTATCTTGGCAAAAAAAGTCACAAAGTGACTGCAATTCCATAAGAAAGAGCAAATATCCAACCTGTTACAGCACACTGACGCCCCACAACCTATACTGTTTCTACCTCTGTAATACTAACTGGGCACAGTGGAAGCTCTGGATTAGAAGGGTTTGGGTTTGGAGTTCTTCTCAAATGGAGTATTAATCAGAAGGTATCTGAGCAGTCATACAATTTCCCCATTTGTTACCAAATGCATAAGGAAAACTGCCTCATTGCAACTCTCCTTTGCTTTCAAAATTCAGTCAGAGCAAGTGGCACAGCCTCTTTGCTTTTCTCTGAACGAACAAGATTTTACCAGTGTTATGGCACATTACTACAGAATTTGCACTTACTTACTTGCACTTAACAATCAGTGAAAATCTTAGATGTTTTTTTTAACCTGAATAGGTGGGACATAAATTAATGCAGCCGACAGGGCACTAAGTAAAACGATTCATGTTCCTTACATGGCAAACATTAACAGATACTTTTTTAATCACTTCAGTAAGCAACCTTTGGTGAATTTTGCTGAGAGCCTAATCTGTATTTAATCCAGTAATTTGCAAATTACATGGAGGAACTTTGTGAAAATTCTCTTAAAAATGCAGCTGTGTTGTTTACCTTAATACTCAATTTGCTCTGTTCCGGCCTCACTCTGTGAATGATAGCATAAATCCAAGGTTCTGGACCCAGCCCACTGCAAGCTTGAGCCTTTCAGGAATTGGTTCTTTACATGTTTCAGATTTGCTGAAAACGCGCTTTGTTGTGAGTTCTGTTTAAAAATCTCTCAAAGTTGTTAGATATGACAGCTTTACTGGCATACAACAACATCAAGGAGAAAATGCTGGATGAAGTCTAGGTACTACTGTGAAGAAATTCCCACTTTGTTAAATGACGGAAGAAAGCTTAAAGAGGAAAAACCTGAGAGAAAGCCCAGTTTGGTGCAGCAGAGATTTGCAGTACAGCAATGGCTTCTTTAATTTAAACACTGAAATGAATGATTAAATTCAATTTTGAGCTCTCAGAGGCAAGATGCCTTGAGAAACACAGCAAAAAATAACCCAAACCCACAGTATATGGGATGAGGTAAAAATAAAACCAGCAGGCCTTGAGAACAAGTCCACTTTAAAATACTGTAATGAAGGTGAAGGGGAGAATTTGTGAATATATTTTTCTACTTAGAAAGAAGACCAATCATTAATATATGCTTGATGATAACTGAAAATGCAGCCTGCTAAAAAGGGGCTAATTTATGCTAGGTGTTAAGAAATGCCTAAATAATGGACAGAGGTCCTGGGTGCATAATAGATCTTGTTATAAGGAGCACCTGCTGACACTGCACTGGTCTATAGCTTAAACATTTTCTACAATTAAAATACCTAAATCTAGGGACCACCTGTTTCCTGCCTTTGCCTTCCTTGAGTGCCTGAACTTTTACTGTAAACACAGGTGAGCAAAATAAGATACTGCTTGATGTGAGGGGACTCAAGGAATTTGCCCAAAAGCTGAAGTCCTGTCCCCCCCCCTCCTTTTCAACTCCCAGCCCCTCAATAAAAACTGATGAGAGAAGCAGTATCCTCTCTTCCTCTCCCAGTGGCAAGACGCTTACATGGGAATTCCCACACCAGGCTGGGACAGCAGCTATCCATCCAGCAGCTTGGATTTGACAGTAACCACTACCAGATGTTTCAGCAAAGGCATAATAAAATGCAGAAAGAGTAATTGTGGAGAAAACTACTCAGTTGTTCCTGGGTTCCTACTAGTCCCTAGGCAATGCACATATCCCAGGACATGCTGCATCCCAAGGAACTGGTCTGCTTATTCAAAACTTTGCCAAAAAGCTGTCTAGATAGCAACCCTGAATTCACTGTGACTGGTAAAATACAGAGGCAGTGGACTGTCCTCATTACAGAACCTTTAGTAAGACTGGATTCCCATTTTAATTTTACTTTACCTGTGAAAATAAAGAAGGTAAAACATTTCCAGAAAGTCTAAAAAGGTTTTTTCTCTAATAGGGAGATACATTAAAGAAGTGCTGTCAGGTGAACATTAAGTCTTGAAAGCTGGAAATGTCAACTGAAAAATGTATTGGCAGACCAAATCTTTCCCTGATGACATTGGCACACCAGTTAGTATCAGCTGGGATTCAGCTCCTGCTCAGCTGTTAGCCTAAGACACCAACTGAGCAACGAGTCTGGTAACCCAGACAGATGCAATTCAGAAAGCTCTGCTTTTGAGTATTGGCCAACAGCACATCAGTCCCTGGAAGAGAACCCTCCACATCTGGAAACCCTTGCTGACAAACATCTACTATCTAAAACTCTGCCCCCTGAAAAAGATTTTGCACAACACAAGGCTTAGGGTGAATGGAAAGCATGTGATGCTTGAGGCTTATCCAGACAAACAAGCAGGGGCAAACCTGCATGTATCTGACCGGTGAGCTGGGCAGATGTGAGGCACCTCTGGAGCTGTGCATCTGCATTTCCTCGGCGCTGCTGCCAACCTGCCAGCCAGGATAAGAAGCACCTGGACAACCCAGATGGCTGCTCACCCTCCCTCAAGTAGCCATGTCCATGGTTCTGCCAGCCCAGGTGCTTTGCACACAGCTTTAGCTGCACTGGACCAGGGCAGGCACACATGCAGCAGCGCAGAGGGCAAACCAGACAAGGAGGGGTTGTTGTGGTTTAAGCCCAGCCAGTAACTCAGAACCATGCAGCCGCTCGCTCACTCCCCCTCACTTCTTCCTCCCCCCGCTTCTGGAGGGATGGGGAGCAGAATCGAAAGAATGTAACTCCCACGGGTTGAGATAAGAACAGTCCAGTAACTAAGGTATAACACAAACCACTGCTGCTGCCATCAATAATAATAATGAGAAGGGAAATAACAAGGGAAGAGAATACAACTGCTCACCACCTGCCTACTGATACCCAGCCTGACCTGACCAGTGGTCCAGCCCTTCCAGGTAACTGCCCCCAGTTTATATATTGGGCATGACGTGCTGTGGTATGGAATACCTCTCTGGCTAGTTTGGGTCAGGTGTCCTGTCTCTGCTTCCTCCCGGCTTCCCCTCCTCCCTGGCAGAGACTGAGGAAGTCCTTGGTCAGATTAAACGTTACTGAGCAACAACTAAAAACATCGGTGTTATCAGCGTTGTTCCCAGGCTGAAAGTCAAAAAGACAACACTGCACCAGCTACTAAGAAGGAGAAAAATGACTGCTACTGCTGAACCCAGGACAGTGGGGTTTTCTGTGTCCCTTCTGTTTTCAGATTTCTCTGGAGGACCTGACAATGAACCAAAGGTACAGTTTTGCAGAAATGCACAGAACATTTATTCAATTTGCCAGAAGTGTACAAATATTTTCGAAAGACAGAAACACAGAACTGGTCCTGGTTTCTTACTGCCTAACGCACAGTAAATCCCATGAACCTGAAAGCAGGAAACTAGCTGGTTCTTACATAAGAAAGCAGAGGAGTTTCAAAAAGGTTGAGTTACCTAAAAGCCTACTATTTTTCCCCTTTCTTTTCTTTTTACCAGTGAGGTGGTTTCATCTGGTGGATTTTTATGCACAAGGGCACTTACTGAAATGAGATACACTTATAACACAATAACAAGCTGATTTACAGCATTTTTTCACTGAAACTGGCAGTGGTACCAAAATGATGATAAGCACTGGGACGTGAACAAACACTTACAATTATGCAATTATGTTGAGACCATAAAAACCATCCTCTTCTGAACAGTTCCTGAGCCAGAGGATAAGGAAAACAACACCATAGTTAAGGGTACACAGCACATTTCAGCGAAGACTTCAGCCATCATTCTTACTTTGCTGTCTTCTCACATTATGTAACAGCTGTTAGAAGGTTACTGATCCACATTCTGCAATCTCAAATAGCAGGCCCACCTCTCTCAGCTTGCCCTTTTAAAAAGAGGACTCAGGAGAAATTCAGCACCAGCTTTCACAGCTCTCAGTGGCATCTTTACAATTCCAAAATGCTACACCTTCCCTGCTATCCCCTTGCCTCATGCAAAACATTTGAAATCATGTCATAAATTATAGATTATAAAACAAAGGCTTCAAAATAACTTAATTGTGATATTTGTCATGGGGAAAATCTCACATTGAATATTAAATACTATCCTTAAAGCCATTTGGTCATACAGAGAGCAACTACAGCCATTTAGAAAAGCAAACACAATTGTATTTCCAAAGTGCAACCAAAATTAGAAAACGAGCCATCAGAGGTACACAATCTTCTCCTCTACTCTGTCTTCATCTTTGTCATCCTGCAGGCTCTCAGGCTGGTGGTTCAGCAGCAGTGCATCTACCCGTGATGGCTGGATGGATCCCTGGTTTGGAATGCTTGTCTGGGGACCCTGGGTCTGTGATGTATTCAGATCTGTAGAAGAGAAAGACATGTGACAATGCATCTTCCGTCATGATATCTCTTCAAGTCTGCTCGTTGTCATCCAAGGGATGATCATTGTCACTGTTTTTACAGTAAAAGAAATTTATACCCATGCTTCACTAACCAGACATACAATAATGCGAAGGCATAAATGCGATCAGAGTTGGGCTGGAGGGAAACATGCAGTTCTTAATTAGTACCTATATTAGTAATAATATAATTGTAAAATTAATACAGCTTCCATCATTACACAGAATTTTATCTGGAAGCCTTCTTTTTATGGATGAAAAAGAATCAACTGAGTAAACCCAGTTAAAAGCCTACGTGACTAACACTTGCACTATGTAACTGATGTATAACCATTCAGCTTTTTCTACTAACTTTACCTGTGTTTATTTGCACAAACTACCTACTCTGTTCTTGTCTCAGTCCTTAAGGTTTGATGGGGAGATATCTGCACCCAAATACTAAGAAATTATTTCACAAGGATCTTGATTAGTTATCTTTCCAATTTTCTCCTGCAAATGCAGAGAATCAGGTACTTGTTTTTCAGCATTGAGCTCTGAAGGTTTTTGTGATGATCTGCGCTCTACTTCAAAAAGAAAAAAAGAAATATATGCATAACCACAGTTGGGTTTTCTCCCTAGTCAGCTTTCTGTAACACTTCAAGCCCTCAGGAACTACACCTAAGTACTTAGCTTTTCCACACATCCGTATTTCTGCAAAGCAATTTTTACCATAAAAACAAGCTACATAACAAGGGAGCAGGTATCCTCGTACCTAGGTAAGGGAAAAGTCTGCAACAGACAAGCTGCAATACTTTTCACTGTAATCTTAGCCCAACCAATGACTGCTGCTTGTACATGAGAAGTGTTAAGTTCTCATTCTCCCTACTGCGAAAAGAACTCTGAGGAAAAAGGAGAGCTTGGCACCTCTCCCACAGCATGCGTAATGCCAGAAGCAAGCGAACCAAGCAATGGCTTCCTTTAAGCCTTGGTCATTCATGCAGACCTAAAAAGGCCTTTCATTCCTGCTGTGGTCCCTATCCCTTCACATATGTATGTGCAATGAAAACCTCTTTTAAAGGAGATGTCTGGATTTTTACATACCTTGTTGCTCCAACTGGTGGCAATTTAAATTGACACCTGCTCACATTTAGCATACCCCAGCACATGGGGATATCACCAGTCTTGTTCACTGAGGCAGGAGTTTAAGACAAAACAAGCTTGTTGGCACCCTGCAAAGCCTAGGCTCCCTGGCTGCTCCCTGCCACGGGGTGTGTGTAGTGGTGGGAGAGGACTATGCGATGGGCAAGTGGGAACACATCACACGGCTGCTCCTGCTTCAGTGTCTTCTCCTCTTTGATATTCACACAGCTTGGGGGAGAGAACAAACAGGCTCTGGGGCTTCAGCTCCCAGTGTAAGTCACATGCATGTTATAACTGCTGCTGAGACTGCAGGGTCAGCAGCAGGGGCAATGCATTTATACACAAGTGGTGCTTTGTCATATGCAGTAACACAGGATGCTAAGAAAATAAATCCCAAATTCCCCTTCTTTTACTGTTTTACACCCATTTAAAGGATCAAGTTTTGGTCTTGATGAAAATCTAGAGTAAATTTTGATTGCAGGGAAGTTATTTGCAATACATAACACAGCAGGATTTGACTTCCTAACTTACTTGAACAGCCCTGCTTTATTAAATATGACTTCTGTATTTCTTTCTTTTTGATAGCCATATTAGAAAAAGATTACCTTTTACAGCAGAAGAAACCAAAAATATCCTATGCCTGCTTTTCTTTATGGAAACTGGATACTCCAGTTTTTTTTATTTATTTATTTAAAAGAGCCCTACCAGTGAAAGGTCCTCAATCTCCAGACACATATATTTTGGGGTAATCTTACCCACATTAATATTCCTTTTAAGTTCTGTGTTATTTACCTTAACAAAGTTATGTGCATAAGAATACCATGCAGTAAGCAGTTATTTGAAAGATCTGTTTCCAAAGTTTATGAAGTACATAATTGGAGAAGCCTAATTACAAATTTGAAAACAGCCCAGAAAAGAAAGAAAAACACCTTACATGCAGTTATTTTCCACCATCAAAACTAAACAGTAATTGCTTTACCAATTAAAACAGTAGCTGTTTCCAAACCATTTCTCATTAACTGTTACAACTCGACACAGCAGAGCTGAGGAGTGGAAACTGCCAGAGTTCTGGAAAAACAAATCAGACTCTGTCACTATATAAATAAATGATTTATCAGTAGTTTAGCTGATTTTATATTCATTTTATTCAATTTAATTTTATTTCATTTTATGGCAGTGTTCAAGGCCAGGTTGGACAGAGCCTTGGGAGACATGGTCTAGGGTGAGGTGTCCCTGCCCATGGCAGGGGGCTTGGAACTTGACGAGCTTAAGGTCCTTTCCAGCCCTAACTATTCTATGATTCTATGAATTTTAAATTCTGTTGCATTCAGAGAAACCAAACAGCAGGAGAGCACCCAGGAGGTGAGAGCCCAGCTGCCAGGGGGTGACAAGTGGCTTTATGCACTGAAAAGGTTGTGCTTAATCCAACTGAGGAGGGAAGGTGCTGTTTCTGGCTGGCTCTGTCTTCAGGTGGCACTCAACATGGCTCTGCCTAATAAAAGCACAATATGTCCATGGGGCCAACATACTCAGTGTGCTGGTGGAAAGGGTAACCGCTGTCTGCCTGCCCACTGCAATGCTGGAAGTAGTTGAGCCAAGAGACCAGCTGGTATTGGAGGCAACAGTGAGATGCGCCCCAGAACAGCTGCTCGGGGATGGCAGAAGAATTGCCAGAATTGTTAATAACAGCCTCAGGTGAAGGGAGAGTGTGGAAAGGGGACCAATGCACCAGCCAGCACTGGTTCTTGTTATGCATTGCTGAGAGAGCTGCCAAGAAGCCTCACCTGGGCTCCCTAGCACAGCACAGGGAAACCAGCTGCCCTTGGCCCCAAGCAGAAGAACAGTGGGAGAAATCCTCCTCTTAGAAACCTCTCCCAAATCAGGGAAGACACATCCAAAACGAACCCGGAAAGTATCAGCTGCTGCCTTCTAAGGCACACTTAGAGCTTAGGATGCTCAAACAAAATAAAAGGGGGGTAGGAAACAAACCAGTTATCCCTGCAAATAGCAAAGCACAGGGCTGGCAAAGCAGGCTGCTACTGGAAAGCAATGGCTGAGAAACTCTCCCATGCTCTCCAGGTTGGGGCACCCACAGGAACCTCCCCAGCTCCTCTCCAGGAGCTTTCTCTGCTGCACTACGGCTGACACTCAGAACTTGGTATGGATCAAGAGCCAGGTGAAAAAGGACCATGGGCCTTTTATGAGTCCCCTTCATTCTGTCTGTAACTCACCTGCCAGCATTAGCCACAAAATCATTTTTGTATTATTCCTTTTCTTCAAATCCAGCATTTACTTGTCCTTCTGCTCCCTTCCTACCTGCCCAGTGACACTCTGGCAGGCTGTGTTCATGTCGACAGCACGCCCACCAGACCAGCACCAACATCACCAGCACTCAGCAAAAGCGCTCCCACTGCCCCTGCCCGCACCCTCCTGCTTGGGCTGTCTTTGCTCCTCTACCCCTTGCGCAGAAAAGGGCAAGCGAAGGTGAATTTACCCAGCCACGACCTTCCTCCTGACAATTTACATCAAAGGAATACAATTTTTCTTTCATATTTATCTAAGTGCAGAAGCTATTCCCTGATTTCCAAAGCTCTAACAAAGCTGAGCTGTAGCTCAGACTCTTCCACCGGGTCTTCTGTGAGACTCCCAGTCCCCCTCCCTCCCGCTTCTGCAGCAGCCAAGGGCCGTGGGCTTCTCACAGCACCCCAGCCCCTGGAGTTCATGTGCAAACTGAAACACCCTTTAGTTGCTTCTCCAGTGTGCAAAATTTCTTTCTCCTACAAAACTCCAGGCATCTCTTTCCTAAAGAGCCAGAGCCAGTCTGCATCCATACCTTGTGTGCTCTAGACAAAACTGAACAGCAGACCAGAAAAATCCACTCTTTCAATGTCAGGCTGGTCAAACACCCCAGCCAAGAGGGATATGGCTGAGGCTGCAGACCATGTACTAGGTGACCTGTGACAGCACTTCAACATTTTGGGGATGTGTAGCTAGTTCAGCGCAGCAGTGCCGCATCATAGCACAAAGTAAGTCCAGCTTTTTCACCTTTTTACCTCAGCTGACAAAATTTCATTAAAGAAAGAAAATCCGGGCATTCTCTTTTTCTTACACACCAATTTTTTCAAAAGGAGTTAGAGGCTGTTTCTAACAAATTCTGAGATAATAAATCACAAATGGTCTCATGCACATGGACACATACTGCTGAACGCAACATTAAAGACAAATCCCTCTTTCCCCTCATTTTACATCAGTTTAGCTCCAGTTCACGGGGAGTATAGGAATCAGGAAACTGCAGACACTCTACTCCCCCCAGATAAAAATACTTTCCTAGGCAACATAAATACAAGAGTAGTGGCAGACTGCACGCCTGCAGCACGTGGGGCCAGCTTTCACAGGAGTCTTTAAGGGGACCTCAGTTCTCCAAATGGTGTCTGGGTCCAAACTCAGAGAAAGACAGCTCCTGGCTGAAAACATGCTAATGTTGTAATGAAAAGGAAAAATGTGGCATTCCACATCGTAACTACCATACCTTACCCTTCCTGTAGCACTAAGAGATGAGATTAGTGGCATCACTTAAACTGCTGGGAAGGTGAAGGACAAAGCAATGGCATTTGCAGGAATCCAAGATCAACACATACCAAAACAAACACAGCCCCTGCTCCGGGAGAGGTGGGGGGGGATACAAAAGCCAAGTAAACAACTCATTAGTCACACTGATTCTCACCTTCTGTCTGTTGTCATAGGATGCAAGCACTTCCACATCAAATAAATGCCACAGATTTTCTCCTTCACCCCTCCTTGCCCTCCCCATGGGATCAGAGCTCTTCAGGTAAGCCTGGAGTG